GCCATTCGTCTCCTGAGTCGATGCGCGAGCCAGCGAAACTACCGGCTACGACCAAGAAGCCAACAGGCTGTTTCAAATGTGGGAAAGAGGGGCATCACGCTGTAGAATGCTGCTCGAAAGCCCCTCAGTGCAACCCAGACCGATCACTGGCCAGGAAATCAGGGAAGTCCCCAGCCAAGCCAAAAGAACCCACCATGAGGGCGATAAAGGCTGTGGAGTCCCCAACCCCTGCCAAGCGTGGACACTGCAGGGTGGTGGAGGGCGAACCTCTGGTAAGTAGACCCATTGCACCCCTCCTCAAGACAGTGACTATATTAGCTCCCTCCATGCCCGAAACTGTCAAAGTGAAAGCATTAATAGACTCTGGCTGCACCCACTGCCTTATTAGCCTGATGCTAGTGGGGAACTTGGGCATTCCGGTGAGAAAGCCGAAACAACCAATCCCATTTGGCCAGTTAGATGGGTCCATAGCCACTTTACCAGTCCACCTATCCCTGAGGAACCATGAGGAAGACATAACGTTTGTAATGACCCCAGGCATGGAACGCCCAGTGATCCTACAGCTGGAATGGTTAAAGAAATGGAACCCCTGGATAAATTGGAGGATGGCAGAACTCCCAAAGGGGGATTGTGTGAACTTAAAACCCCAAGCCCTACCAAACCCAGGAATGGAGAAAGCATCGGTGGGAGAGGAAAAGGGGCTACCCAAAATACCAGAGGAATACTGAGACCTTGCTGAAGTTTTCAGTCAGGAGCAGGCGGATGAGCTTCCCCCTCACCAACCCACGGATTGTGCCATAGAAGTCAAGCCTGGGGCAAAACTCCTGAAGCCCAGATTATACTCTATGAGCCCTAAGGAGAAGGAGGAAATGGAAAGATTCATAAATAAAAACTAGAAAGGGGGGTTTATCGAACCTGCCAAGCCTAAGGTAGCCTCTTTAGAGAGAAGAAGGACAGCACTTTGCAGTTGTGCGTGGATTACCGCGCTCTGAATGTAATCAGTGAAAATAACCTATACCCCCTACCTCTCATGAAGAACGTGTTATCCCATCTCTCGAAAGGAAGAATTTTCACTAAACTAGACCTAAGGGAAGCGTATTACCGCATTAGGATAAAGGAAGGGGATGAATGGAAAACCGCATTTAATTGCCCAGTGGGGTGCTACCAATTCAAAGTTTTGCCATTTGGACTACAAGGGCCCCCCGCAGTATTTATGCAATTAATCAACAAGGTACTATGGGAGCACCTATTTAAGGGGGTCCTGGTTTACCTAGATGACGTCCTTATCTTCACCGAATCCAAAGAGGAACATATCAAAGTAGTCAGAGCAGTTTTAAAGAAACTGTGAGCTGCCCACCTATATGCCAAATTATCGAAATGCGAATTCCACCAGGAAAGTATAGACTACCTGGGTTATTGCATATCCCCACAAGGCATTGAAATGGACCCCAAGAAGGTCAGAGCAGTACTAGAATGGGCACCATCTCGCAGAAGGAAGCAGTTGCAAAGTTTCCTGGGTTTCGCAAACTTTTACTGCCAATTCATCCCTTCGTTCACCCAAATAGCCCTGCCCCTCAAGAACTTACTAAAAACGAAGGGAGAATCCTCAGTGAAACCTAGCCAGCCACTAAAATGGACAATGGAATGCCAAGCGGCATTCGAGAGGTTAAAGAGACTTTTTTCCGCTGAACCCATACTGAGGCACCTAGACATGGACAAAGCTTTCGTAATACAGGCATACGGAAGCGATGTGGCAGTGGGGGCTGTACTATTACAAGAAAACAATGAAGGGGTATTGCAACCGTGCACATACACGTTCAGGAAACTCACCAAAATGGAACAACACTGGGCCATGTGGGAAATAAAGGCATATGTGGTGAGATGCTCGTTACTTTTGTGGCGCCATTTCCTTGAAGGGAATAAAATCTCTTTTCAGGTCTGGATGGACCACAAGAACCTGGAAGCCTTAAAAACACCCAGGAAGCTCACTCCCAAGCAAGCCCGCTGGTCCCAGTATTTTCACCAATTCCGTTTTACGCTCAAGCATTTGCCGGGGGGGAAGAACTTCCTGGTAGATGTACTGTCTCGCATGCCCCAATATAATAGCACGCGAGCCACCGATTCTAAACCACTCATGCCTGAACCACAACTGGCAGCACCAGTAACCACCAGAGCCCAAGCTAAATTAAAACCACAGCTGGGTAGCCAAACAGGAATTGAATTCCGGAAATCTTTGGAAACAGATGAATGGTTCCAGAAAAAATAGACATGTGTGCATAATCAAGGATGGACTGCCATGGGTGGGGGAAAAGTTATATATACCAACCACCCAGAGTGTCACTTTCATGCAGCTATGCTATGATACAAAATCAGCATGGCATTTTGGATTTATAAAAACATTACATTTAATTAAAAGGTAATTTTGGTGGCCGTTCATGAAAAAAGACATAGAAAATTACATGGCCCACCACATTAAGGCAAACCATCAAATAAATAAGTTCCATAGTAGATACCCGCAAAACCCGGTGCCATAACAATAGAGGAGATTTCAGAAAGTAACATGTACTTATTGTTTTCCAGGGTCCTTCCAGTTTTTAGGCGGGGTCCGCCTGTCAAGGTGTGACTGCATTATTTGGAGGGAGGGAACTTTATACTTTCCCGCCCTCTAAATAATGCTAATATTGATTTAGGAACCAATTTATCAGAACTGGTTTCCTTTCACCTGTGCCGAAATGATTTACCCAGTAAAGTTTTGCATTAGTGATTGGTTTGTCTCAGTTGTGCTCACTTCATTGGGTTTGTTAGTCGGAACCTTGACACTCCCTCAACAGAGGGGGGGGGGTGGAAAATACAATCCCACCTCTCTCCTGTCTACAATACAGTCTTTTCAACAATTCTAAGAAGATTCCACAACCATTTGCACTCTGATTCAGGTGACCCTGAGGGCATAGATGAAACCCCCAAGTGGCCTCAATGGCTCTGAGAGAGAATGCTAACGACCAAATGACTGCAAAGAAATACAATCCTTCCATCCCCCCTCCTCCACCATCCTGTCAAAACCTATCTTTCCATCCCCCCCCCCCCATCTAGCTGACGAAGCTTCTTGGATGAAAAGCAAAATGTCTTTTTCTTCTTCCTTAAGGAAAAAACAGTCCAATTGCCTTTTTTGAAAAAGCACCTTTGAGACAACTATGACCTGAATGACTGAGAATCTCCATAGATATCCTGTAAGGGCTTTGCATAGGATATAAGATAACTTCCACTAGTGTTTCTGCCATGGCTTTGGCCTACAGATTTGCAGAGGTACAGTGACTAGGAAAAGATGATGGTTGTACCATGGCAAAATGACATCTATGAGCATGCATGCCAATTCATGTTTATAATCCTCCTTCCATACTTTCAGAATGGTGAATAGCTCACATTTATCTTGGTTGCCACCATATTGGCTGCTTACTTCATTGTTGTGCAGCTATGCAGAAACTAAGGCACATATGAGGGGGTGTGAACTCCAGCCCACCCATTATCAGAATGATCAGATTTCCATTCCCAGAATTGCAGTTGACTGAATGCAAACTGTGGGGAAGATGAGTGCCAAGCATCTGGGTGTAGCTGAGATCTGTGGAACAAATTTATTTATTTACTCATTCATTCATTCATTCATTCATTCATTCATTTGGCTGTCAATCTCAAATTCATGACTCTAGAAGCTAATAACAATCAAAAATTATGCAAAAACATAGAACAATATAAAAGCAATCAGCAGATGAAATAAAAAAACAGCAGCATATTAACACAACCATTGCTCTGACACAATATTAAGTCTGCAGTGTGACTTCTCTTTATAGGTAGTAGGCATCCAAAGCACAGCAGGAAAGCTATGAAAAAGCATGGCTAAACTTTCTTGGATGGGATTCCATGCTCCTGTATGAGGGCGGTCATAGGAAAGTGAGAAGGGGGGAAATGAGCAACTGTGTGTGCAATACTGAATACCAAGTGCTGGAATCTATGGAGCAATATTGAGCACCCATTATACTAGTTCACTCTAGCTACATGACTCGGTGGCACCAACAATACAGACAGAATAAACAAAGTGCAAATCACATTCAAAAACATTTTGTAGAAGTCTATCAGTGATCCATTATGTCTTTGAACCCACAATGTTTCTATTGACCCAAGCATTCCTTTGGCTTTATTTGTCATAGCTTCAAAACAAAGATGCTTTAATAAGGAATAAAACAAAAAATGAGGGAACTTGGGAAACCTGAGGCAGGAGATTATTCTGTGTGCAAGCATTCTGGAAAGTTAGGAAAAGAAGGGGAACTAAGGAGGAGGAAACAATTCCAAAAAGGAAGGCAAGAATATGGGTCAGTCAACAAAGGTGTGCATTTTTGGGAAAGGTGAGAAGCACAAGAACAATCAATAATTGCAAACCATTGCAATCTAGACTAGTCGGCTTCACAAGAGCTGAGAGTGGCATAGAGGATAGGCAACTTTGGCTTGTTATGACTTTAGTTTGACAGCAGCCACCTGGTCTCTAACTCATCTTAAGCCTGCTTCAGTTCACTGCACTTACTGTCTTGTAACTTTGTTCTCCGTGTGGGTACTGCAGTTTTTGATTTTAGCAGCTGACCCTTGCTTATCTCTGCAGCATGAATAACAACAGCCTCCACCGCCTGCTTAGATGCTTGTTCATACAGTACAACCCTTCTAGGCCCAGGATTTCCCACACCGTGCTGTTTGGGAGCATTGACTAAAAGGAGTGTGCACCCTTCATTCTGATGGTGGCAGTACCACTACACTACCACCTAGGAAGCAGACAACAACCAACCTAAGAACTAGAAGCAAAGCAGAGTTCATTTTCCCAGCCGCCGGAAACTGCCTTTCTGTATGCTTGAAAGGATACAGCAGGAAGGTATCCCATTGCTCTATTTGTGCTCTTTCGTCAATAAAGGGAGGCGATGGGGGAACCAATAGCCCCACCCAGTGGCGACTCCATCTCAACTGGCCTTCTCCTCTCTTGGCTGGAGCGCGCAGCCAATGGACGTGCAACTAAGGCGTGTTCTAGCCGGCGTGGGTGGATGGGAGAAGAAGCGTGTTAGTCGGGAGCTGACAGCCAGAGAAAAAGCTCGTGGTTAGATTTTCGTTATCCATCATGGCATCCAAGTGCCCCAAGTGCGACAAGACTGTCTACTTCGGTGAGTCTTTTTCGCCTTTGCATTATTGTATTTCTCGGGGCGTGTATCTCCCTCTTATGTATTAGTGTTTTCTAAATCCTGCAATTTAGAGATTTGAGTGCTTTACCCCAGCTGGTAGTGATGCTTGGCTCTCTTTTTCAATGCGACATTCCGGTTCTCTACCCTGGCTGAGAAAGTGCCTTCTGGAGCGCCCAGACCATGTTGGGAGGGCTGGGAGGGGTGTCAGCCTTCATTCCAGGGAGCGTTTCATAGCTCAGTTTCTTTCACCTCTCAAAACTGCCTCTCTGAAATAAATGTTGTTGGTTCTATGGATAAAAGAATATTGATTTGCTCATTGTGGGACCCCAAGGCCAGCCAGTGTAGGTGATCTCTCAATTCCCTTTGTTATCTATCATCACTCCTCTCCTCACTTTGGGGTATTTTCCAGTTGGCGACTGAGATGCCCTTAAAACAAGAACACTTCTCCCTATGAAAGTGCACTATGATTTTCCTAAATCCTTGTGGATTAAGGTTAAGGGTTTTTAATTTGCAGAGGATGCAGGTTTTAGAAAACTTCAACTTTTTCTTAAAAATCAGACAATTCCTCTGTTTCTCTAGCTGCTTCTTCCAAGAAGTTAGGAGTGATTCAAATTCCCCTCTTCAGCCATTTCCATTTATCTCAACCCCACCCAAGGCTATTTGCTGCATGTCTATGTCAACCTCAGCTATGGTAGAAAATGGAATCTCCATTTTCATAACCAATATAATTCTGAATCCCAGAAGTTATGGACAAACAGGAAAATATATCATCAAAATAATATATATATATATAATGTTTAAAGCAAATCTCATCTATTGTTTTTCTTACAAAAATTCCCTTCCTTTCCATATTTATTCCATGCCTGATAACTACTTTTCCAGGAGGAAAACCTTTATCTAAATCAGTTATGTTTCATATTCAAAATACATTACTATTTTTCTCACTTAGACTGGTGCTGCTGTTAGGTTAGTAGCACATCTGATCAACCTCTCTTCTTGTTTAACATAAAGCATACCCAGCTGAACAATTATCTACTGAAACAGAGCTTTGTTTTCATATATGACTTTAACTATTTTAGGGGGCATTGATTGGAAGGAATTGTCAACTTAAGCATGAAACCAGTTTGGTCTAGGAGTTAAGGCACTAGGTTAGAATGCAAGAGACCATGAGTTCAAATCCCAACTTGGCCATGAAAGTCAATTGGGTTGGGTAACCTCAGACTAGTCACTCTCTCAGCCCAACTCACCTCACAGGGTTGTTGTGGGAAAATAGGAGGAAGGTATGTTAGATATGTTTGCTGCCTTGTAAAAATAATAAGGCAGGAAATAAATTCTCTGCAGGTACAGATGTCTCTGTAAGACAATAGTTTGTTATCTTGTGGCACCTTTAAAAAAGCATATGTAACTGGTCTGTTTCCATTCTTTTTGTTAGAAGCAGCTTCTGTGTGAGGAGATAAGAAACATGTTTAAGGCAAATTGATGTTTTCTATTATTGCAAAATATATGTTATCCTTAAAAACCAAAAGTGTTCTCAGAATGGTTTATAAATATCCTCTATTAAAGCCCTAATTGTCAAAAGCAGGTAAGGAGAACACAACATTTTTAATGCCGTGACCCCCAACCGGTCGTAAGTCGAGGACTACTCAACTGGTGCAGCACCATTTGCAGAATGGGACTTTTGGCGGGCTCAGCAGGGCAGAGACAGCCTGGACAATTCCTATTGGCTTTTGAAAGCCAATAGAATTAGACTCTATTCAAGAGAGTCTATTCTATTGGCTTTCAAAAGCCAATAGAATAAAAGGGAGTAGCACAGCTAAAGAAAAGGGGGGGGAAATGGCGGACTGTGTTGTTTGGCGACCCCCGTGAAATGGTCGTTCGACCCCAAATGGGGTCCCGACCCACAGGTTGAGAACCACTGCCTTATAGTGAACAAGAGATTCTCTATATGGAATGAAAGTATGGAAATGTTGTAAAAGATCATATTTTCTAATGTTTATTGATCAGAAAACAAGGAACTTTGACAGTAGTACAGATTAATGATCTTGATTATGTGTTGAATTGTGGCCAGCATTTTATGGGCCCATAACTTTATTTCTGTCAATTTATTTTTGAATTTAATTCTCATTTATATTGGTTATTTAGGACCTGAGACTCTTTGTTCTGTATGGCTTTCAGAGCCATTCAAATATATGGTCACATGTTTCAGCAATATATTTATGAAGGGTTATCACATTTATTCTCAAACTTTGTTTTCTACCCTGCGGGCCACTTCAGTCCTCTCTCTGCGTTTCCTGCCTATCACCTGCTTTGCAGAAAGAAAGAAATGGCTGATAATTAATTGACTGATGCAGTACTAAAACTGACAATAATGTAGTCTCAAGTATAGTTACCAAATATGAGTAGAACTGTGATATTGCATATGCGAATAGAAATAAATAGAAGATATGAAGAATGAGTACCGGTATTTAAAAATGAGTGTTATTAGACTGGGCATCTAAATGTCCCTTAGTAATTAGAGATTTCTAATGAATAACATTCTTGACTAGCTTATATTCTGAGTTAATTGTTGTTGTGGTACAAAAACTCAATTTTAAATGAGTTTTACAAATAGAATGATGGGCTGGTGTACACAATAATCCTGATCGTATTTATTGAAAAATCTATCCCATGCTCTTCAAGATGAAAACATGGAATTGGGTATTTAAATGGATTCTCTGATTTCTTCATATTTCAAACATTTGTTTAGCGTTCATAGTTGCAGAATGTTTGAGAAACAGTAGTCTAAGCTTTCATGACTTCTTGGCTGATTTTCTTTAACTAGGCGTGGGATTGAATAAGCAGCCATGTATTTATTTTAAACCGCCATTCTTTTTCGTTGCTGTGTTTTGTTCAACAACAGATGCATTGGTTCAGAATGTGGTTTTGTTGCTGCTGCATAATAATTTGGCCTGATTCTTTTCTTTATTCTGCTAGTCTTTGTTCTGAGTAGTATTAGCTGCTTGTGGAGAATCCAGGAAAACAATCTCTGTTCCCCAATTTATTTTTTAATAGAATTAGTAGAACATTGTTTTCTTACATTCAGCTAAACATCAATTCTATTTTGAGCATTTGTTATGCACAATTCCTTTTTCCTTCCTGGAATTGGTTGAGTTTTGTAAATGTGACAACACAATAGTCAGTTTTCCAAACCCTTCCTGTAACTGAATTGTGTACAATTTCTATTCCACCATTTTCAAATAGCCATATTAAGGAAGATAGGTTTTGTTTTTCTAACAGGAGTGTTGAAGTTTATTATGCAATATTTCTACTTTTTTTGTTTTCTGAGAATACTCCCGAGCATAAGAAGTATATTCATAGCATTTTCCATTGAGAGTGCTTTTGGAATCATTCCTGTAGAAAAAATAACTACAAAAAATATAAAAATCAAAACTGAAATTCTGCATGAATTATAGGAGGCATATTTGAGCAGTTATCGGTCTGGTTCAGATATAACAACATTATACAAGGACTGTGCTGTTTGTCCATATGTAGCAGAAGAACACACTTTGGCCTGAGATTATCAACTGTGGTTACACATATGAGGCCAATTCACATTCCATGGTTTATTGGATTTTGATTATTACATTGAAAACAAAACAAATGAAATGAAATGGATTTTTATAGATAATTTCATCTTATTTTAAATGTTTTTATTTACATTAAACAAGAGTTTCTGGGATACGTACTCACTCAGCATAAAGGCAAACAAAACCTGGAATCAGGCAATTTGGAGTTCCTATCATCTTGCCCAAGGCAAGGAAGACGTGTCCCAATTTTAAATCCTAAACAAAGCTTCAGTTCCAATTTGTAGCTTTCATATCAAGAGGAATGCAAAGAAAACTAACCATGGGGTGCTGTTTTATAAAAAAAATGCCTTGGTGTGTTGGAAAAGAGAGTTTGAGAGATCAATGCACTTCCTCCAGAGAAACTTCGCAGTTAATTATTCCAGTCACTGCCTTTTGCCAGGTAACAGGATCATGGGAGCTGAAGGAGTGTGTGTCTAATAAATACCTATATAACATTTAATTGTTATCCCAAACTATTTTCTGAATGGTTGTAGCAATTTTTAATAATCTACTTCATTCCTATTGTCACTTGATCCTCTTTTAACTTCTTCATTTACTGAACTTCACCATTCCTTTCTTTTTCAATCCTTGCCTCCTCCCATTCCAATATACTCCAAGTACACACACACACACACACAAAACATTTCAAATAAAATTATTTTCAATTGTATTTATTTTTACTTAACCTTTCCTGCTCATTAATACTGTGGGAAGTCAATGCCCCCCCCCCGAGAGGGAAATATTAAAAGGGCAAAATATTATATTTCCTCAAAGGATCTTGAAGAGGCAGAAAAGCATGCCCAGTTTTTCCTAATAGCCCCAAGTCTCCTTCCCCCAAGCAGAAACCAGCTCTGTAGAAATGTAGATGTAATAATCCATTCAGGAAGGTTGGAGCCCTCCACCTAGAAGCTTAGGAAGACAAAGACACCTAAAATCTACATACCCCACCCAAATTCTAAGACAGGACATAATAGGATTAACCCACAGACGCCAAAGGGGCACACTCAGACTCAGGTCAAAGTACAAGAAATACAAAGCCTCAAACAGGAAGAGGAAACAACCTCAAGAGCCCCAGAGAGTATAAAAACCCACTCCCTACATGTGCTCTTTCTCTTTTCTTCCAGAGCCATCTTTCTGTCTGGCTCTTTTCTTCAATAAACTGCAACCTTCTTTCTAAAGCAGTCGTCATGTTGTTTATTCCCAGCTTGGACTGGACCCTGATGAAGACTTTTCCTTCAACAATACTTTTTTATCTTCTTTTTCAAGGTATGCGGTATTCCTCCATCCATTGCTTACCATAATAAGAAGTTAATATTGTATCTCTTTGGATCCAATCTATTATTTGTTGCTTAATATTCTCACATTTTCTCACAAGAT